TGGAATTCATTTTGATGTTTTTAAATGTCACAGATTTTTTAAATCTTAATCTCTTGTATTTTGGGAGCCCCCATGATTTGTGTCCAAGGTAAATGTGTCTCCCTCCTCACCCCTGGCCTAGGCCTCCTCCCAGAGGACTTGGCAAGGCCAGAATGAAGGCTGCAGAGTCTGGCATGTGCTGTCAGCACCTTTATCCCCAAGCCCACTTTGAATGAATTCTTAAAGACACCCCTTGGACAGCCTTTAGTCCCACCTGTCAGAGAACCATTACAGTATACTTAATGATTTTGTTTGAATAAGGCACCTTCCAAAAAAATATATCATCTTGCACTCGTGAGTCTGTCACATCTACTCTTTGAAGGTGTGGCTTAAACAGAATTCTTAAGCAGTGCACACCCTTTGCAACTGTACAGGGCTTCCGGGCACATATGTGTTCCCCACATGTCACACCTTCTCAGCACCCACCAACACTGTGCTTAAAAACTACCCCCCAACATGACAAACTCTTGCCCCTGTGACTCCCGACTTGCTCCCATTCATGACTGTTAACTTGGTTTCAAATCCCAACGTGACTGCTCCTGAGTAGGTGCCTTCCACGAGTCCCTTTCGTTGCTGAGCCTTGTCTCCCCGTGGGCAGGAGGGCGCCAGAAACGACCTCCCCCGAGACGATCACTGGGAAAGTAAATCAAGCGTTGACAATCCCTCCCGGCACATCATGGGCCCTAGATCCGCGGCGGGCGCGTTGGGGCCACCATCCGCCTTTCCTCTTCCTGTCCCGCCCACCCTCACCTCCCGCCCTCTCCTCCCTCCACCACGCCACGCAGGGTCCTCAAGCACTCGGTGGACGCCACTTTCGAGAACCAGGGCCCCAGCCCGGGGTACCGCATGGAGATGTCCATCTTCTACGTGGTCTACTTCGTGGTCTTCCCCTTCTTCTTTGTCAACATCTTTGTGGCCTTGATCATCATCACCTTCCAGGAACAGGGGGACAAGATGATGGAGGAGTACAGCCTGGAGAAGAACGAGGTGCCGTCCCCTGCGTCCTGTGGAAACGGTCACACACACCCAGGACCCCACTTCTGGGGGCACCTGGGGACCGAGGGCAGCCCTGCCGGGGTTTCCCGAGGAAAACACCCCTCACTGTATGGGTCAGTTCAGACCAGGGCCCGCTGCAGTAACGAGCAGCCCCGGGCATTTTCAAAGGCGCTGACTTCTTTCTCACGTCCCGTCGCCTGTCCGAACCGTGGGTGGCTCTTCTCCATGACATCTCTAGTCCTGTCCCGGGCTGGTAGGGAGGCTGCGGCGCCAAGCAGGAGCAGGTGCAGCCCAGCTCTCGAGGCGGGGCGCTGAGTCGTGCCGTCACTTTTGCCCCGTGTTCTTGAGCCCCTCGTCCATGTCGGACGTCAGGAGGGTGGGGAAGCAGCACCTTCCCGTGGGAGGGCCAGCAAGTGGTCACAGATGAAAGTCTAGTCACCGAGAACACCACGGGGGCCCTTTGCCCTCTGGGACCACCCAGGCTGCTCAGAGGACCCAGGGCACCTGCCTTCTGTGCCACTGATCCCTCGGACTCAGTGGCCACTATTTCTCCTTCTCTTTATCCCTCCAAGAAAAGGGGAAGGAAAACCAGGCGGCCCCTTAGAAAGAATGGCTAGGCCCCGCAGTCAGACCTCGGGTGTCATTCAGATTCGGCCCATGCAGCAGCTGAGCCATCTCAGGCACGTGGCTCAGCCTCTCTGGGCCGAGACAGCGAGGCTGTTGATGGACCTTCTCTGCGGGGTTCCAGGGGATCACAGGGAAGCCCAGGTCCAGGCACACCTGGACTCCTGGGGAGTGGGGTCCGCAGGGCCCTGCGCCTGCTCACGGTGGGCCTCCCCCCCACAGCGGGCCTGCATCGACTTCGCCATCAGTGCCAAACCGCTGACCAGACACATGCCGCAGGACAAGCGCAGCTTCCAGTACCGCATGTGGCAGTTTGTGGTGTCCCCGCCTTTCGAGTACACCATCATGGCCATGATCGCCCTCAACACCATCGTGCTGATGATGAAGGTGAGCCCCCGCCACCGGGGTCGTGCAGCGCCCCAGCCAGACCACACTCGGGGACGCCCGCGAGTTCCCTACCTGCTGTCCCACTGCCCGCACTCCCCGCGTCCTGCCCGCCCAGCTGCATGTGCAGACCTTCCTCCAGGAAGCCTTCCCTGACTCCCTGGACCGCACAGAGGCCCGTCCCCACCGCCTCCTGGCGATGGCCTCCGTGTGGACGTGCAGCAGGACTTCCCTGCCCCTGAGGGCCCCGGGGGCCCCCACCTGAGTCCCCAGGTTCAGAGGGGGCCGGCTCCCGGGCCCTGCTGGCCCCAGGGCGTCTGTTTCCCAGTCAGTGAGAGGAGGAGGGGTGGTGAGGAGAGGACCTGCAGCCTCCACCCCCGGGGGCCAGAGGACCAAGGGAGGGAGGGAGCTGCGGATCTCTTCCTTCTTCCCCAGCCGCGAGTGGAGCCCAGGGCCTCCTGCGCCATGTGCCCGTGCCCGCCACCTGGCCAGTCTCTTTTTCTTTGTGCCGGGGATTGAACCCGGGGCGCTGACCACTGAGCCCCAGCCCCAGCCCGAGTTTGTATGTTTTGGAGACAGGGCCTCCCTGAGTTGTTCAGGGCCTCACCTTTGCTGAGGCTGGCTTTGAACTCACCATCCTTCTGCCTCAGCCTCCTGAGCCGCGGGGTGACAGGTGTGGGGCTCTGCACGCAGCCTGGCTGTGAGTTCTTGACAGTGAAAAAACTGGACCGAGCTCCCCTGAGGCCTCCCCTGCACGGGGCCCTGCTCTGGGGAAACGTCCCAGACAGTCCTCAGACGCCTAAACCCGACCCCGCCTGCAGGGACGTGCTCTCCCCCAACCCACGCACCCCGGGGGCTGAAGGCCGTGAACCAGGTGCAGGGCCTCGGGGAGCCGGCGGGGCGCTGGTGCCAGCCCTGGGCTCCACCCCAGCGGCACCATTCACGAGTTGGCCGCCCTGCCTACCATCGGCCCCCCCACCCAGCGGCCAGCCGTCTGCACACTCCCTGGGTGACGGGCCTCTCACGCTGCAGCTGTTTGGGGTTTTGTTTAATTACTGTAAACAGGAGGCCCAGGACTGTGCCGTTGAACTCTTGGGGAGGTTTGATTCCTTAAAACTCACACTTTTGCCGGGCGGGCCCCTGGTGCGCGCCTGAAATCCCAGCGGCTCTGGAGGCTGAGGCAGGAGGATCCCGAGTTCAGAGCCAGCCTCAGCAATGGCGAGGCCCTAAGCCACTCAGAGAGACCCCGTCTCTAAATAAAATACAAAATAGGGCTGGGGAAGGGGCTCAGTGGTCGAGGCCCCTGAGTTCAATCCCTGGCACCAAAAATAACTAAAAAATAATAATAAAAGAATGAAGACAGTTGCACTTTTTCACTTAAGATTTACTTAAATCTTAATGGATGTTAAGCTTTTAAAAAGGAGAAGACTGAGGGGCTGGGGCTGTAGCTCAGTTGGTAGGGGCTTGCCTTGCATGCAAAGGCCCTGGGTTCAATCCCAGCACCAAAGAGAGAGAGAGAGAGAGAGAGAGAGAGAGAGAGAGAGTTCTAGAAATGCTAAGGTTCTGATGGAGACGCCAGTTACCTTTATGATCATTGCACGTTGTGAAATATCACAGTGTGCTCCATAAAAATGTACAATTATTATGTGTCAGTTAAAAATTATAAACGTGTTTTTTTAATTTAAAATCTTTTTTTTTTTTAGTTTTCAATGGATCTCTATTTCCTTTATTTTTATGTGGTGCTGAGGATGAAACCCAGTGGTACACGGGGCTGGGGCTGCGGCTCAGCGGTAGAGCTCTGGCCTCACATGTGTGAGGCCCTGGGTTCCGTCCTCAACACCACAGAAAAATGAATAAATAAAATAAAGGAATTAAAAATGTTTGAAAAATAAATAAAAGCAAAGCGCAAGTTGGGTGGGGTGGGGCACAGCTGTAACCCCAGCCACGGGGGAGGCTGAGGCAGGAGGATGGCAAGTTCAAGGCCAGTCTACTTCGAAGACCCTCAGAAACTAAGCGAGACTCTGTCTAAAAAAAAAATACGAAACGGGCTGGGGCGGTAGCGGGTGGAGAAGCACCCGGGCTCTGTCCAGTGCTGCACAAGGCAAAGAACAAGGGGTGCTACGGGGGGCGGTGGACACTGCCCTGCGGCGCGGCCAGGCGGCCCAGGACACAGAGGCCGGGATGGTCTCAAGACAGTTTTGACCCTGAGCGTGCAGAGACTCCGGGCGGTGGCTCTGGACCCTCGGTGCTCCCTCAGCCCTTGCTGGGCGGGTTGGGCAGGCCAGGTCACTCCCGGGAGGACCAGGGCCACAGCCGCTGCTGACACCCCCCTCCCCCCAGTTCTACGGCGCCTCGGTGGCCTATGAGAACGCTCTGCGGGTGTTCAACATCGTCTTCACCTCGCTCTTCTCCCTGGAGTGCCTGCTCAAGGTCATGGCCTTTGGGATTCTGGTGAGTGGCCTGGGCTCTGCCCTGCGCTGGGGGCCCGCTCTGGGCGGGGCTGAGGGTCTCCCCACCCGGTCCCCAGGCCCCACCCAGGTGGCGGCTGCACAGCTCCTGTGACTTCAGCCCCTCCCCAGAGATTCAAGGGACACCAGCGAGACCAGGCACTTTGGTGACCTGCTGGGCCAGGGACATAAGGATTCAGCTTTTCCTCCAGAGGATCCCAAGGAGGGAAAGGAATTGTCAGCCGTTTCAGAGACAAGGAAGCAGACCAGGGAGGCCAAGTCTGGGGGATTCAAACAGTTTTACCCACAATCCACTGGGGGAGTCCACCTAACTGTGGAGCCAGCACCCAGACAGCCTCAGCCAGGCCAGGGAAGTCGGTGGCCAGCCTCCCGCCTGCCTTGTGCTCTGAAGCTGTCGATTCTCCATTTTTCTTTTTCTTTTAAATGTGTTCCATGAGCCGCTGACTTGATTTCGTCTCGTCTACTGCATGTAGTCTCAGCCCAGGACCCTCAGCCTCAAGGAGAGCTGAGGATGGGGGGGGGGTCTGTGAAATTAGGGAGAGAAGATCACTTCTTTATTTTTCTCCAGCCGCTAACTCAACTCGAGTGTTTTCTTTCGTCTTGAAGGTAGATGTGCTGGTCAGTTTTCCATTACTGTGACAGAACACCTGAGGTTGTTTACTTATAAGGAGAAAAAGGTCACTCTGGCTCACAGTTTCAAAGGTCTCCGTCTGTGGTTGCTGGGCCTGCTTGGCTTTGAGCCTACAGGGAGGCTCACGGAAGGGCACGGTAGAGCAAGGTGGTCCCCACAAGGCAGCTGGGAAGCCAAGGAGAGAGGAAGAGGAAGGGCCAGGGTCCCGGTGTCCTTTTCAAGGGCACGTCCCCAAGAACCTAACTTCCTCCTGAGGGTTCCCCACCTCCAGTGGAGCCACAGCTGGAGAGCAAGCTTCAACGCAGAGGCCCTGGGGCACACTCAGATCCAGACTGTAGGTTAGGGGGCCTCCCGAAGGTCCCCAGTGAGAGGCCAAGCTGGACCTTGAAGCAGGACGTCAGCTGTCCTGGGCCGCAGCCCCTGGTCTCAGCCAGCCGCTCAGGAGCCCCCGTCCACCCAGGGCTTAAC